AATTTTACGATGCAAATTAGACACGAGAGTGCCACCGGAGCGCCTATTTGTAGTTTGCTTGTCCGTATAATCAGGTTTTACAGCTTCTTTAAGCACTGAGCTTCAAAAGAAAGGAGAGCACGCACGGTGTCTACAGCAAAAGCGCAGGGAACACGGTGTTCTGGCAGACAATGTCAACCCGGAGTCTTATGAGTGACGTCAAGTAAGTGGCGCCACTGTATGTCCTCGAGGCCAATAGAAGTATACGCACCGGCAGCAGTGGCAGTGGATTTACTCGAGTGCTTGGAGCCAGAAATTGATCGGATATTACTACTAAAAAATAGCAGCATATAAACGGAAGGAATGATGACGAGTTGGGCGACGCGTCATCCGTTTGTCCGCGCTTCCCTCTGTCTGCTCGTCCTTGCCGTCGTCCGTCCTTGCGCCTATCCATCCGTCCATCCGTGCGTCCGCGCGTGCGTCTGTCCCTGCGTTCGTCCGTGCATCTGTCTGTGCGTCAGTCCGTCCGTCAATCTAGTAAACACTCCAAATACCGCCACCTCGCCCCTTTTCATGATATATTCATTATCGAGAAGTACCGCCATTCAGCGAACATTCCAAGGTCTAAACGAGAGAAGGCTACCTACTACCACGCTACTACTACTACTACTACTACTACTACTACTACTACTACTACTACTACTACTACTACTACTACTAGATACATCGCGGACGCATGACCCATGGCATATGAAACATCGCCCCCCCCCCAAAGAAAGTGTGGCTGCTGTTTTGGAAATCCGGAAGCGGCAAGAAAGGTGGGGTAGGGTACGGTTTTCCTATGTGTCTGGGCCACAGATTTCCTGTATTGAAGATGATTATGACATTATTTTTTTATGGACAAATACTGCAAGACTCCGTTTTCACAGCTTGCGAGTGCGCTTCTCAGCACTGCATGCTTGAGCAAGTAAAGGCGCCACTTCACGTGCTTCTAGCGGAGACGCACTCTTAGTTGAAAACGCACTCTTAGTTGAAAGGGCTGACGCTTTCCTTTTATGAGTGCTTATATAAAGGGAGTGGCGATGAAGTAGTGATTAGAGCATCTGCCTCGCATGCAAAAGGTCCGTGGTTCGAATTCCGGTGCCACGAAGTTCCCAACCGGATAAAAAAAAATCCGCATGGTGATAGAACTGCATTAAGAGGCCTGGGGTGCGGCCTCACTGGCGACCACCGCCGGTAACACACTCCCTCACCAGAGAAGGATTGACCACCGTAGGGCAGTATCTGGCCACTACCTCCCACATGCATACGTCAGATAACTCACGGCCCTCAATCCCCAGCAGCTGCGAAGCACCTGACCCTGACGGCGGTCAGATCTACAACGCAGCAGAGGGTGCTAAGAATCTCTGGATTCGGAGAGGCCGCCATTGGAACCTGAACTTGGCAATGTTTAACGCTAGAACCTTATCTAGTGAGACAAGTCTAGCTGTACTATTCGAGGAGATAGAGGGTGTTTAAAGGGATATAATAGGGCTCAGTGAGGTTAGGAGGACAGATGATGTCTATATGGTGCTACAGAATGGGCACGTCCTTTGCTATCGGGGCTTGGCTGACAGAAGTGAACTGGGAGTGGGGTTCCTAATTCACAGAAACATAGCTGGCAACATAGAGGAATACTATAGCATTAATGAAAGGGTGGTAGGTATCGTAATTAAACTGAATAAAAGATACAAAATGAAGGTGGTACAGGCTTACGCGCCTACATCCAGCCATGATGACGCTTCAGTTGAAAGCTTCTATGAAGACGTGGAATCGGCAATGAGTAAGGTGAAAACACAGTATACAATATTGATGGGAGACTTTAATGCAAAGGTAGGGAAGAAACAGGCGGGAGACCAGGCAGTATGAGATTATGGCATGGGTACTAGAAACGCCAGAGGAGAGCTACTAGTAGAATTCGCAGAACGCAATAATTTACCGATTTTGAATACCTTCTACCGAAAACGAGGAAACCGCAAGTGGACATTGAGGAGCCCTAATGGCGAAAATAAGAACGAAATAGACTTTATAGTGAGTGCACACCAAGGCATCGTGCAGGACGTGGAAGTGGTTGGCAAGGTACGATGCAGTGATCATAGAATGGTACGGTCTCGAATTCGCCTATACTTGAAGAAGGAACGACAGAAACTGATACGCAAGAAGCCAATCAATGAGCTAGCACAGAGAGGGAAAGTACAGGAATTCAGAGTCTCGCTTCAGAACAGGTACTGGACTCTTAGTGAGGAAAATAACCTTAGCATAGATACAATGAATGATAATCTGACGAGTATCATTATGAAGTGTGCGGTGGAATTCGCAGGCACGGTAGTTAGACAGGACACTGGCAAGCTTTTCCCGGAAACGAAGAATCTCATTAAGAAGCGTCAAAGCATGAATTTCTCTAGTAAAACAGCCAAAATAGAACTGGCAGCGCTTTCAAAGTTGATTATTAAGCGAAAGGTATCCGATGTAAGAAGGTATAACACGGAGTGAATTGAACTCGCTCTGAAAAACGGAGGAAGCGTCAAAGCAGCGAAAAGGAAACTTGGGATAGGAAAAATCGGATGTATGCACTAAGGAACAAAAAATCAAAATAACTACCAATATGGATAGGATAGTTGAAATAGCGGAGGAGTTTTACAGAGATCTGTACAGTAGGAGGGACAAACACGACTTTAATACTATAAGACCTAGCAGTAACCCGGATGACACCCCACCAGTAATGATAGAAGAAGTCAGAAAAGCCTCAAAGAGCAGGCAAAGAGGCCAAACTGCTGGTGAAGATAAGGTAACATCAGATCTACTAAAAGATGGAAGACAGATTTTGTTAGAAAAACTAGTCACATTGTTTGCGAGGTGTCTCCTGATGCGAAGAGTACCAGAGTCTTTGAAGAACACTGACATGACAGGCACTTGGAGAATTACAGGCTGATCAGCTAGCTCTCCGTAGTATACAAGCTATTTGCAAACTAATCGCTAACAGACATACGAAAACATTAAAACTAGGGTCTCTCATAATCATATAATGGTTTTGGGACTTAAACCCCACATATCAATCAATGAAAACATTAGAACTCAATCAACCAAAGGAACAAGCAGGATTTCGACCAGGCTAGTCAACAATCGACCACATTCATACTATCAATCAGGTAATAGCGAAATGGTCAGAATATAACAACCACTATGCATAGACTGGATAGATCACGAGAAGGTGCTTGATTCAGTAGAAATATCAGCAGTCATGCAGACACTGCGGAATCAGTGCGTCGATGAATCATATATAAGCATCCTGGAATAAATTTACAGGGGATAAACTGCTACCATACTGCTTCATAAAGAAATCAACAGAATGCCAGTCATGAAGGGTATAAGGCAGGGGGATACAATCTTCCCAATGCTATATACCACGTGCTTACAAAAGGTTCTCAAAGGCCTAAAAGGGTAACAGTTAGGGATATGAGTTGATGTAGAGTACCTTAGTAACCTGCGCTTCGCCGATGACATTGCATTGCTGAGTAACTCAGGGGACGAATCGCAACTCATGATTACGGAGTTAGACATGGAGAGCAGAAAGGTGGGTTTTAAAATTATTCTGCAGAAAACGAAAGCAATGTACAACAACCTCGGAAAAGATCAGCGCTTCGAGTTAGGTAATAGTGCACTTCAAGTTGTAAAGACTATGTCTACTTAGGGCAGGTAATTACCGTGCAGCCAAGCGACGAGATTGGAGTAACTAGAAGAGTAAGAATGGGGTGGAGCACATTTTGCAAGCACTCTCAAATTATGACCGGTAGATTGCCACTATCCCTCAAGAGTAAGGTATATAACAGCTGTGTGTTGCCGGTACTTAGCTTAGGAGCAGAAACCTGGATACTTACAAAGAGGCTTCAACCTAATATTAGGACGACGCAGCGAGCAATGGAAAGAAAAATGGTAGGTGTAACCTTAACAGGCTAGAAGAGAGCAGAGTGGATTAGGGAACAAACGGGGGTTGAGGATATCATAGTTAAAATCAAGAAGAGGAAATGGACATGGGCCGGACATGTAGCGCTTAGACAGGATAACCGCTGGTCATTAAGGGTAACTAACTGGATTCCCAGAGAAGGCAAGCGGGTTAGGGGGAGACACGTTAGGTGGGCAGATGACGTTAGGAAGTTTGCGGGTACAAATTGGCAGCAGCAAGCACAGGACCGTAACTACCGGTGAAACATGGGAGAGGTCTTTGTCCTGCAGTGAACGTAGTCAGGCTGATGATGATGATGTTGATGATGACGATGTTGTTTTTGTTGATGATTAAACTGATGCTGATGCTGCTGATGATGATGATACCAAGAGAGGCGACTCAACTTTTTCCACGTGATTGCATAAGCATTCTGGTCTTAAATAGGCTGTTTGCACTAAATGACAAGCGTCAATTAGTTGTTTAAACTGCATCGCAGGAAATGTAACTTTACAATGTCGAAAAGGTTCAATTTATAGTTTTGGTTGTCTTGATATGTAAACAACAATAAAGAATAGATTCAGACGGAAAGTAATCATGAAGGCAACCAGCAAATCCTAAATTTCTTAATTGCTTTAGTACCTTCAGGTGCTAAATGATATGGAAAGCCTAAAATTTGTGGGTTGTATTCATGATTACTTCTCATCTGAATGTCAGCATCATCATTGCGCACATCTCAAGGCACCCATGCAGATACATTATCAGATGTAGAAAGTCCTTGGAGCCCCTTGTACAGTTATTAGATGCCACCTCACTAGAAAAAAAATCCACAAAAATCGAAGTTGTGTTACGTCTGATCACAATTGTAGCCGGCTTTTAGATCATAAGAAATTAAATCATTAAGTTAGGATCTTCAATTCCATGTGATCCAATTCATTTTTTTTCTTCAGTTGGTTGCACTCTTGCACAAAATTTTAGTTCACCCAATTTCCCAAAAACTGCTCTTCTTACAACTAATTTTCCCTCTATCTGGCGTAATCAGTGCCACGGTGTTCAACTACGTGGGCTTCCGTGTGGTGTTAGCGCTGTCTCCCCTACTGTCCGAGGAGTTGGCCAGTGAAGCGGCCCGGCTTCGGCTTAGGCGACGCTTTGAGTCCCGCGGCGAGGCAGCCAGCCGTCAACGCGTCTGCCTCCACATGGCGGAAGAGGCGATGCCCCTGGTCTTGCTGCACGTTTACGCAATGGTCTTCAACAAGGTATACACGCCCAGCGTTGAAAAGGTAATTTCTTTTACCAGCTCGCACACCAGTATAGAAATATTGACAAAAATTTGCCAATGGTTGCGGTACTGCCTAATGCGAATGCTGAGCAGAACTAGATGAGTTGATTTTGGGGTAAGTTGAGGAAAATGCTTCCGGTTTATCTGCATTTTCTTCTCTATTCTAGCATCGGCGACATTCATTCTCTTCTCGGTCAGGTTATTTATATGCACACTTTCACCAGCTGTGGCACTCGTAGTTCAGAAATAACCGATGGAGGGTATTTCAACACAAAGGTGTTTCATTTCGGAATCCACCATGACATCGCTGACATATTTTCGTCATGAATATGACGTAATAAAATGTTTACGAAAAGATCTGAAAAAACTACAACTGACGGCAAACTGTTTATATACATTACACACCGTTAAAAGTACTCACAACTTCTCAATTTAACCGCGTTTCCGTCATCAGTAATGTGATGGTGCAACGAGCTCTCGTTGGGCGCCTCTCACGTTTGTTTGAGCGCGCGCTCGCATGGATCTTGGACTCTCCTGCGCCCGCGCTTATCAGATCACAGCTGTGAGTCATGAGAGCACAGACGCCACTTGCTGCTGCGGCCGCGTTTAAAAAAGGAGCACGCTGCACACGTATGATGTAATAACAATTGTGACAGTTGTTCCCGCTCGTCCTGTGCTTACATGTGCGTTCCAATCATAAGTCTTTCTTACTGTCTGAGCAGCATACTTGAGCTGTCAAACTGAGACAGTTGTTTGTCCGCATTCGTGCTGTGTATGCTCATTTCGTGCGTGATTTCTGCATGAGTTGCGCACTGTAAGTTTGTAGCTGCTTGTTGTTCTGGTTACGTGACGAAAAGTCACGTAACATTTAATCACGTAGCTAAAGGCCTGCAAATTAACGTAATAACTACTCATATGACGAGTTCTCGCCATGAACTACGTTCAGTTGGTCTTGTGATGTGTTCCCGCCAGAAATCGTGTAAGCTCTGGTCCTGTCACTCAGAATTAGATCACGTAACAGGTGATCACGTGGCATGTCTAGCCAAGTCTAACCATGCTTAGTGCTGCTAGCAAAAGCTTGTTATTACTAGCAAAACTTAGCAAGGTAGACCACTTATAGCTCCGCTCAGGCTTATAGCTTTGCGCTGGTAGTTTAAATTGTGTGAGCACTTTGTTTTTATGCATGATAAACTGTCGCTAATGAAGCTACAACGAGCTCTTTTTTTCACTGAAACGCAAATCGACAACACAACTGTAACAGCCAACTTACGCAGTGAAGTTGATTTATGATTCATGCTTACTTTCCCGTTACAAAAAACACAATAAAGTAAATGTCAAGTAGTAGTAGCTTCAGAAAAGAGAGCTAATTGTTCACAGATTTTCCCAACACAGAAAATTGTACTCAAGTATGGTATGATCGATTTTTAAACTAAACAGATGCTGAACCTGAATGAGAAAACCTTTACGTTAAAGATAACATTTTAGCCATTTTGAATTCACCTTTAAGGAAGTTAGTCATGCATGCACTAACACCATTATCAATGTTCCATACCGCATTCGATAATGGTGCACCACAATCAGATGAAATTTTCGCAAATGACATATCGATATTAGCATTGCACAAGCGTGTGCCAACCATCGATTAACTTGCATAAAGGTAAAATCATGCGCACCCCCCCCCCCCCCGTGTGCCAGATTGATAGGCTCACCTATTGCACGGGCTTGCGCGGGTAAGTTTTCGCGCCTTATTTCTTTTCTGACGTTGTGCGTACCTTCGGTGGTTAATCAGCGTTTGTGGCATCCCGAATTCGTTTTTAGGTAGTGTTTGCACATCGTGTCCTCTTTAGAGTGAATGCTTACGAAATAGCTCATCTCTTTGATACTCGCAAACTATACCTCGCAAAAATAGGCTGGCAAAGATGCGAGTTTTACTTGCCTCGTCTTGTGTATCCCAATGAATTGAATACATCTACTCAACACATTTGCCACGTGCCTTAGCAGCAGCTATAAGTGAGCCGAGCCTTGGTTTACACGATAGCTGAACTGAAAATGTTTTAAATGTTGGTGCAGTTCTCTGTTGTTTGTTCTGGTTTTGAAGCATAATTGGTTTCGTTTCTGCACGGTAAACTTTGTTGGTAGATAGCCCTCGTGTTTGTTGGAATCTCTGTCGTCTAGTGCTGATACATGCTGATGCATTTGTGCAGGTAATTTACACTGTCGAAAGCATACGCTACTTCATGAAGGCCTTTGTCGAGCAAGCACACTGGATGGAGTACTCATCGAAAATGGCAGCTAAGTACAAGGTACGCTATGAGCTCGTCTTTGTATACAGAGAGATAATTTTACTTTAGCTATTATTCAATTGCATGATATAAATGGGCGCTGATATAAATGGGCAGAGAACTGAACGAGCGATAGGCTAGCAGTTGACTTCGCCAAAATATTGTCTCTCACTGCGTGGCTGCTAATATTTTATTTTAAAAAGTGGCATGCAGTTACGAAACACACGGGAGGAATATTATTATCTGTTCTTCAACCTACAAAATGGTACATCACTTATATCGTGGACTGCTCGGAGCAGGAAAAGATAGTATTACAATTAACGCATAAATTCATTCTCGCTATTGTAAGAAATACTTGACGTTCGCATGCCATGTGATTTTATATGCATTAGTGAAGAGGGAGGTCGTAATACCCCTACACCTCACTGAACCTCGTTGAACAGAAACAGCGGGTTAACAGCGCCATGGGACATTCGGAGAGGCAGACATAGTAGCACACCATAAATACACATGGTCACACTCATATTCATTCAAGTGGTAGTGCTAACCATTCAACATTTTTGAACGACCTTTTCAAAACAGTACAGGATTCCTAAATCGCAGTATATCTGTCATGACTGTATATATTTTGACTACTTTACTACTGCAGGCACTGCTTACAATGGTAATATTATATTACGATCACCACTTTGAGCAATCATTGAGCAAACGATAAAACATTTTTACAGCAATGCAGTGACAGAGTTAGATGTTTTACCTCTCGCGTTTGCATTGTTGGAAAATCACCAACTAAAGGCGATGACTGTCGCAGCATGTCCGCCTTACGATTTGTATTGCAGTCTATGCAGTGGTACAGTAAGCTTATTGCCAAGCTTCCTTCTTTTATTTGGTGTAATCTAGTTTCAAATATATGACATATCTATGCTTAGCGCGACTGGTGCTGCAACATTTGAGAAGCTTCACGATTCTTTGGCTCTGTTAAGGCTACGCACAGGAGGTGTGTACCGAAGCTTAGACGGGCGCTTACCTGAGCACCAGCAAAAACAGCTGGAATCTTCTATCACTATTGTACGAAGTACGGCATGTTTCACTGGCGATCATAATAGTAGACACTCGACGTCTGTGCTCCAAGGTCTCATTGTACAGTGAATATTGGTGGTGTTTTCAGTATATCTTTAGGCGGGCGCACTATTCTAATAAAGTTTTGTCATCTCTGTGAGCTTACCTTCTATGTACGTGAACATCACAACCACGTTACGCTATTATCAGCTCTGTCCTTGTGATCTGTAGTCGTCTGTGCTTCAACATTGTTCGGGAGCGTACGCGCGCACATGAAATATTTTTTGCCTAGGAGTTTTGCTGAAATGACAGTGACTATACAGGGTGTCCCAGCTATCTTTAGCCAAAGTTTAAAAATACGCCGATACGTACAATTACGACATGACCAAATGCATGTTGCTGACCGTTGCCTGGAGACTGTTTTTTTTTGTGTGTTCCAAAATAGTGTTTAAATAAATATTTTTATTTAGCTAACTTTTGAAGGAACGAATACGGATAAAAAATTTCAATGAGAAGGTCTTAGACTGGTTTGCAAAACGATCGATTAAACCGTTTTTGACATTTCAATCAATTATATATTTAAAGTTTTGTTGCTAACTACAAATGTCCACGAAATGCAAAAAAAAAAATACCACGTGACAAACTCACTGGCACACCCACGAATGCCGTGATTCAGGTGCTCCCCAACGTACCGAGTACAAACGATACGCTTTCCCCACATTAGCTCACGACAACGAAAAGTAGTCACAACAGTTATCGCTTTTGTGGCCGATAGAGAAATATTTTCTTCGCAAAGCCTCCACCAACATTGTGGCCCTGTCGAGACAACACAATCGGGCGATTGCTATGGTAATTCACACGCGGAACGTTAGGGAGCATGGCTGTTAGCAGAAAAAACAATAATAATTTACAGATATAGAGATTGAAACCGTCTAATCAGACGTTTTGCAAACAGATCTATGAATTTCTTATAGAAATATTTTATCCATCTTCGTTGCTTTAAAAGTAAGTTATTTAAAGAGATCTTATTAAACAATATTTTAGAACACAAAACTTGTGTGACTAACTCCAGACAGCGGTAAGCAATATTCATTTGGTAGCGTCGCAATTGCGTTTGTCGGCACATTTTTAAAGTCTAGCTAAAGATAGCTGGAGCACCCTTTCTATTGTTTTGATGGTGGAGTTCTCTTACACGCAGTCATCTTGGTACTGCGGAATAGTTTTCTTCTTATACATGCATTGACCGGCACATCAATGAAAATACTGTATTTTATTGACTGGTCATTCTCTGCTATTTAAATTCAAATGCAGAAACAAAAGTCGCAGTAGCATGCTCCTTTCATGTTTGTTCTCGCTGCCTCAGAGTTTCCTGTAAGTACACCAGAGAAAACTCTGGCGCTAGTGTCTCTAGAAGGTGCAACGCATAGCGCTTCAGCCAGCATGAGAGTGGTAATAGTGCAGGGGTTTTTGTCTAAGCTTCGTTATTTCAGTTCCTATTCGTTCCGTGTGGCCTGCACCCTCTAGATCATCAGACGAAGTTCATGAAGAGTCCAGCAGTTTGACTGCACCACCTCGGCCTTTTCAGGCTCACAACTTCGTATCAGCTCACGAAGTTCCTAATTATATTTAATTCGCTCAAAAACAATAACACAACAATAAACAAAGCCACAAGTGTGTTTGAAGCTGCAATCGCGAAGATGAGGCAAATCCGGGTACTGCCCTTCATTTCCATGGTAGTAAACATTCATAGAGCTATAGTTTCCTCTGATAAATATTGTAGAAAAATATGCTCGCTGCCGCAAAACATGTTTTACTGAGAAATGGTTGTGACGCAGCTGGGACTTGCATATTTCAAGTTTCCTCTTTTGGACTTGTCAAAGATGGCACTTTTCCTGTAGCGAAGAGATCATTCTGTAATCGGTGTTAGCATGTGGCACTCATTGGCGCGAAATGATAATCTATAATTGTCATTTTAGCTCGTCGCTGTTTCTTACAAACACATGGTGTGGTACTTCCCTCACTGACTAAAAAAAAAAAAACGCCCCAGTAGACACAAAATCAGAGATAAAGGGATACGCTGTTGTGGCAGAAACATATAATTTCTCTACATCTTAGACAATTTAAGAAGATCTTGTCGCTGGAAATACGTGAAGCAGCACGCTCATTTTGTGTAATCAGTCTATTTAAGAGAATTTTTTCATGAGTTTTGGTGGCGCGCCTGTTGAAGGACGACTGTGAGCAGGTGACATATCTTGCGTTTACTGCTTCCTGAAACTTTGCTTGCTTTGGTTAACCAGCGAATAACCAAATTAAAGACAACTATATTATCTCACTAAACTCACTGTCTGCAAACATGTGCTTAGTAAATATTGCCGCTTTGTCTTCATCTAATGATTTCATCCTTAATAGATCTCGACTAGCGGAGCAATGCAAATAGTAGAACGGTGCTCAAGAAATGCCGCAACATTCCTATAAAGCCGCGGCTGCCATGTCAATAGGTCGTGTTACTATATGTTTTGTGTGCTGTGATCAGCGTAGCTAGACACCTTGAATAATTTTGTGATCACCTACACTGTCAAAGCTCTAGTCAAAGAACATCACTCACGTGTACACCGCATTCCATATAGACGTCAGCTATTGTGCAGCATTGATGAACGTACGTTATAATGGAAGATGGGTATCACAGTCATTAAAATAGCTTAATAATTTATTGTGTGATTTATTATTTGCAGCTGAAGGCGATGACTGTGAACATATTTTATCCCCTCTGGATCATGGATGCCGACAGGATCGGAAAAATCTACGCTACGGTATGTTGAAAACACTAAGAGTATTTCTTGAATAACTGCGTTCCCATCCATGCGGCATATTTTTAGAGCAGTCGATAATGTTTATTCTGTTATACTTTCTGGTTATTCTCGTTGTGATTATAGCACCAATGGAAGTGTGCATGCACATGTAACTATATCGCGCGAGCGTCGATCACACGCAGTATCAGGGCCTTACAACAGCGACAACATACGAGACCGGCAGTATAGTATATCAGTGCCGGTCTCGCAGATAGTCCCATTTGCGGGAATACAAAGGCCAAGGGTGCAGCCTTGTCCGTGCATTTTTGAGTCACGCCAATTTGGGCAGCCCGAAGAGGACTATGGCGGCACCCAGGGAGGCGTTTTTGAAAAGGTCTATAGCGCAAGCATCTCGTACTTTCATTAAAAGGCTGACTAACGCAGTTGCGGCCGACTTTCTGCATTCAAATATAAGGCAATATTTCTTTTCTTGCTTTGATATTCTAATGATTGACATAGTTCAGAGTTAATACCAGTTTTCATGTCTTTTTTGTTGATTCCTTGTAAAACAGCAAGCGCCGATAATAGTATTTTCAGGCGTTCTCTCATTAAAAATTTTCAGTTCAGAGCCAGCGCTCGCGTTGTGTCAACTCTTTCTTAGTCCTTGTTTCATCTGCTTTGCTTACGCTTTGTTCGCACCCCCTAAGAATAAGATAGCCCATTCTACGCCCCACATGGTCATCGTGAGCAAATTTATATTCAGTTTCTTCTTCGTAAATATACAAAATGGTCATGGCCAGATATTTCTGAAAATAAACTGGTGGAAGTGGTCCGCGTGTCACTGCTGCTTAACGTGCCGCATAAAAAAGCCTCAAAGATGCTCACCTCCAAATCCAGTAGTTACAGCTGCCGGCACACTGTCTAACTGCCATCAAAAACAACGCGAGCAGCATGCTGTTCGAGACGCAGTAGCCAGAAGGTAATCGCCGTGCATAGTTGCAACAATCTGTATTCACTGAATTGCTTTTTTTTCATAATGACGATACATAAATGATGTACTTTATCGGTGAGAAGAAAGCGCGCTTTGCATATTATGTATGTCCATTTACGCAGAGTATGGTGAACCGCAAGGAAGTTGCCGAGAGCTACTACATCTTGCGCCGGGCGACCATGCGTCGGTACTGGTCCAAGTTCTCTAAAGAACAAGCTGAACCGGAGTAAGTGATTTAATGTCCTCCAACAAAGGCACTTCCTCTTTATTTGCTTTCACTTACCGTAAATGCATCAACACAGAGTCCAAAACAGTGATAGTATTTTAGTTCTTTGCTTTTGAAATTTCATGTGAATATTCAGTGCTAGCATATCGATGTTCACTTATGCATGGTTTTTCATTACTTTAAAGGTGGCAGGGCTCCGTATTCGACATGGAGTGCAGATACGACTGCGAAGCCAACGCCCTGTGTACGTAACACGGTTCATACAAACGAGAACACTATGTTTATGTGTATGCGCTCTCGGTGATTCTCATATGTGCTTTGTGTGAATTATTACACATTCATCGCCTATATTCAATCCGCCCCGTTTAACGCTAGGAGTATCAGACGAGCATTGCTCCTTTACGGGTACTTAAGACCAAAGCCGGTATCAAGAGCAAATGTTACTGTACATATGCATGGTCACAGAGATCTATAAAGAGGCTTCCCGCATTTTTTGAGTGTGTGTATAAGGGGCATGTGTTTCAGCCAAACCATGTTTTACGCACGTGCTTTGCTGAGGTATAATACACCTTGTGCATGCATCATGCCTAAGTACATAATGAATGTTATCCTTCCAGATATACCAATGGGCTTGTTCAGCGAGCCTATTCTTCATTCCGACGTTTCTTCGTAAGTTTCATCACCTGCATTATTTTATCTCTGCCAATTTCTCAGCGCACATGTTTCTGTTTCTAGTTAATAGAGTTTCTGATCGTGTAGGCTTGTACTGACTCTTAGTGATGTGCGCGCTTTTGACGAGCTCAAAATTTTCGGTGCGACTTCACAGCATATTCAGCGTCTCCAGACCAGGTGCCAGAATAGCTCATGCTATGCTGGGTGCTGTTGACAAACGAGGTAAGAATTCACGTTCAAAACTATTTCATAACACCTAAGCTATGTTTATTTCACGTGGCGCTTATTTCAAGTAGCACCAGGACGACCTAATTGCTAGCCGCAAAACGGCATAGATTTCGACGTTTATACTGGTTAGCGAAACCTTCAGATCAAAAGAGAATGCGAAACATCATCGAAAGAGACATTTACGTTGCAGTCGCATTACGGCTACTCAAGCACAGTTCAGTGGGCGCAACCAGTTCCGTGGAGCGTCCGATATTAAAGGCAAACTTCAGTTCCATGTTCGAAGCGTATTGTCAGCGACACTGCAGCGACGCACAATTTTTCATTTATTGAAGGTACCCCCCCTCAATACCTACGGTCGAGCAATCATTCAAGATTATCGTTGCGTTCTGCGTTTATTTATTTTTATACTCGTTTGCTTCACTGTTCACTCAATGAATTAGTACAGTGGAGCATCTTTTTTGTGCGGCGATAAGGTTTAATTACAGATGTGGGCATATCAAGCTTGGTATGGGCCTTCCGCACGGCAAGCTGCTGTCCAGCATACGACGGCCAAAGTTACGAAATTGTAAAAGATCCAGATTTGGTACCTATCTTATTTGCTTACATTCATTCTGTTCGGTAATGCATTAGTTTGTAAAGCTCGTACGTATAGTTGAAATTGGACACCGCGACAACTGAGCAGAATGAACTATATAGATACGTGAGTAAAACTCAACCTTCTACCCACTCCCTCTGTTCCCTTGAGCAGAGCTCTCCCAGCTGCGTAGCGGTTGTTGCTACAGAAGGGAGTGGAAGTGTGGTTTTTACTGGCGAGCCTCTGTATCTCCCTCTGTTCCCTCGAGCAGAGCTCTCCCAGCTGCGTAGCGGCTGTTGCTACAGAAGGGAGTGGAAGGTTGGTTGCTTCTCGGTGTCCGTCTTGTCTTGTCGTGGCTGCTGCTGCTTGTTCGGGGATGGAGGCCAGCATGCTTCGAACGTTACAACAACTCGACTTTATATACAGAAACTTATGTACATATTTCCAAGACTTCACCGTCGGTTCTGGTCGCAACAAAGAGTGCTCTGCACTATCGGCTCTGCCGAGGCAACATGCGACGGTTCCGACGGTAAAGTCTTGGAAATATGTACATAAGTTTCTGTATATAAAGTCGAGTTGTTGTAACGTTCGAAGCGTGCTGGCCTCCATCCCCGAACAAGCAGCAGCAGCCACGACAAGACAAGACGGACACCGAGAAGCAACCAACCTTCCAATCCCTTCTGTAGCAACAGCCGCTACGCAGCTGGTAGAGCTCTGCTCAAGGAAACAGAGGGAGTGGGTAGACGGTTGAGTTTTACTACGTGTATATTGGCCACTCTATTTATGAACAGCGACCACGTCCTCAGCTTTTCCTTGTGGTACGAATCGCTACAAAACAAAATCGGCGCAGGCTTCCTGTACACCGTATCGAGCACGTACAGAAAGTGGTGGACGGAAGAGACGCACTACCGGTACGCACAGGTGCTCTCCTGCTTCATGGAACAGTACAAGGGAATCGTCGACCGCAAACTGCATCTCAGGGTGAGAAAATCAGTACCGAACTAGAAGCCGGGCAATCGAGTCTTGCATGGCTTTGAGGAGTAGTTTTACTTTCTAAGTTTCCATTGACAAAAGCGAAACGAAGAAGATACACGAAAGAACTCCAATCTAGCATGCTTTGTCATCTCTTCTTTTATCCATCATTGTGATGTACATATAAGACAAAATACAAGTATACGCCCTTTCTAGACTGTAAGCCGAAGTTGGTCAAAGTTGAACTAACTGCAATCACTAAATCACTGCACAAATGGTTCGTGCAACAAGGAGTAAATGCGGCGCAGTGTGTGCAGTGTGCAAACGCCCGACAATGAAGGGCCGAACGGGGAAAGTGACTGCGCACCGATCATCTGCTGCCGCGCTGCACTGCTCGGCCTTGTCGGTTATCACAAAAACAAGTGATATGGGAAGTACGTCTCAGAGAAAGCGAAGCATTATAAAGGAATCGCAGCTGTTATAAGCAAAAAGTTTTATTCCCGTCGGGGCAGCGAGCGAACCAGCTCCGTCGTGTATTCTTTTTTCTTAGCAGCTGCTGGCACGAACTGGCTCAAACAAGTGCAAGCCTCCGAGCCCACACACCTGGGATAAGCCGTTTCAATGTGCCGAATGAGAAAATATTACGAATAACACCGAGAATGCTAACAAAAGTAAGCTGTTCGGCTCTAATCGTGTTCCCGCAAAGTCACTGGCCTCAACTTTGAAGCGATATACGAAGTAGACATTGTATGTCATCGGCACCAACACGGCCGGTGGCTGGTGTGAGTGCGTTGCTGGCGCAGGCGAAAAAAAAACGTCGCACAGATTTGTTTTCAAATCAGATAATGTATTCCGCATTAATGTATAGTTAAAACTGTCTTTTTCTGTATGCGAAAGTTTGTGGTAAACAAGTTGCGCGAAGGCGAGCGCCGATACGTATCCTCGTGCGGCCGGCGATGCAAAGTGAGTGACTCAGGAGCAAAGTTGACTAATTGTGCTTGCGAGCGGTCAGGTCGTTGTCTCTGTACATATATCTGCATCACTCCGCAATACGCAGTGGACAGTGGGCACCTACCTATTTTTCATTTGTGTCTAAATTAACGACGACGAAAATTTCTTAGGAGACGTATTTTTTTTTATTGAAAGTTGCCGTTTAGCCGTGCTCCTCGTAAGCCTAGCGACGCTGTCTGCAAGAAGCATACGTGGGGGCATCGGTGGAGCGGCTGAGTGCTTTGCCAGCCTTTCTGCTGTTATGCCTTGGAGTCCAAACTGAACTTCATTGCTTCCGCTAAGGCAACCAGCGTCAAAACAAGCGAGCGAGCCAGGCTGACGCTATCACCGGCTACGGTGTGTCTTACGCAACGCGTGGCAAGCGCACTTTACCTTAGGGTTCGTTTTCAGCCCGATGATGCAGTCGACATCACCCAGCCCGGCGCGTATTACGCAACGCGTGGCAATACCACTCGCCCATCGGTACAATACAGCGGCGGTTCCCGATTGTAGGCTGCTGACGTAAGGAATACCCAGGGCCTCTCAACGAACCAAGCAGCGCGACGAAAAGCAGCAGATGATAGCGTCCGAGCAGACGACAGCGACAGAGCATGCGAAAAAATCCCGGCTCATCGTCGACCTTCTTATAAGCTGTCGGCCCCAGTGCCGAATATGTAACGCCTCCGTTTATGCTGTACATAAATGTTGCCTTAACTCACCGTCGCCTTGTCCACTCCGTATATCAGCTCTGCCCAGAAGCAGCCATGAGCTTAGATACACGCGATTCTTAACACTGCATAAGCGCCACTGTTACGCTTGTGTTTGCGGGTCTAACGTTGGTTCGGCCGACACGATCGGGTTCCAGCTGATAATTCATATTCGCTGACTGAAGAGATGTTGAAGATTGGGTAGCTTCATATTAAAATATCGGTGCACTTTGGTGCTTCAAATTAGAACACGAAAATTTCACGCACTACGCTATCCATGTTTATTGCTTTATTACGTCGAGCAGACGTGGTGAACCGGCACTACATGGAGATCAAGATAATGTGGCTATATATATCCGATAGTTAGTTTTTGCAGTGTAGCACAGGTGGTCGGTATTTGGTTCTTTTACTTTGAACTAGTGCTGTGTGTATATTTGTGTTGCGTGCCCCGTATTCTGAGTTCTTCAATGCTGATCAAGTTGGAATTCTTAATAAAACATGCCAGACAAACGAAAGGGTGGCTTTCTTTTTTTTTGCATTCGTCTAGATGATTCAACTGCTGGTCCCACTGGAGCATTCCACGAGGACCAACATTTAAACCAAGTGGATTGCAGTTACTCTAGCAGTTGGTTCAAAATTGGTTCATAATCTGTGGCGGCCCACTTAGTCCCTTGAAGAACTAGTGTCGTACCCCACTTTAGTCCTCTTTAGGTTTAGAGCATGCCCTTCGAGATCAGCCGCCAGCGCGCCATTGCTACGGGCGCCCCACTTGGCACGTCGCCTATAGTGGATAAGTGTAACTTTGCCGCCTGCTGAAGGCGCCGCGAGATGGCGACCTTTCTCAATGAGTCGAGCGGCGCTCGTTTGCATGGTACAGCGTACGATTTCAGTCGATTATGTCGCAACATTGACCGTATTGACATGTTACCTATTTGAGACACGCTATGGGCGCACAAACAACGTGCATCTCTTTGCTACAGCGACGGATAACTTCCGTATATGTTCTTAAGAAACAACTCCTTGCTTTCGCATGCAACTTTGGTCGTTAAAGAGCTGACTTGGATAACAGAGGCCACTAGCAGGTAATATTTATTCTATAGGTTGCTTGCAAGCTTGTCGAACAGCCTTTTCTAATTGCTCGTGAAATATGACAGTGCGTAGGCATATTTTTTTTTTTCAATCGCTTCCACGCATCTAAGAAAGTACTGCAGCAGCTACATTACGTCATTACAGCTAAATATTTAGCCTAAGCAACATAAGTTCTGGTATATGCAATCACGCCAGGAGACATAGCTTCGTCTTTCACACTTCAAGAGAAATTCTTACAGCGGCACTGTTATGGATATAAACAAATTCTTCCGAGTTTTTTCGTGTGCCTAACATACTGTCTTTTGATTGCTTTTAATTTTTTTTCTGGTCTGCGGGGGTTCTCATGTAAATATATAAGTGCACAGGGAAAACTTTACTGAATATCCCTTCCCCTCGTCTCTATTTATTTCATTTTCAATGCGAAGCATTTCTAAGCGAACTTCGGTGACTTTGAGCGTATCTATCTATCTATCTATCTATCTATCTATCTATCTATCTATCTATCTATCTATCTATCTATCCATCTATCTATCTATCTATCTATCTATCTATCTATCTATCTATCTATCTATCTATCTATCTATCTATCTATCTATCTAGCCGCCTACGTCTTTTAGCTCTCCTGGCCGCTTCATGATTGTATGAAAAACATATTTGACTAGTCATAACGCGATAATCATGATTTGTATGTCATAAATGTCATTATTTATATTTCTTAGTCCTGCAGCTCATGCGGTCGTTTCGTTCACATGGCATGTTGCAAAACTGGTATGGCGTGGCATGATTGCGTGGTGAACACAAGTGACAGACCCTAACATGAAACTTATGACATGCGTGTCATGTAACAATACGACTACATGCCACGCTCATGATGCGCTCGCGGCCATTTTGCTAGCGTCACATATATCGAATAGGATATTACAGTACGTGAATGGATGACAAAGTATGTGACTGGTCAAAACATGATAATCATGAGATTCGGGTAATGTAACAACATGACCATATGCCCACGCTCATGATGCGCTGGCGGCCGTTTCGCAAGCTTCACTTATACCAATTTTGGTATTACGGGACGTGACTGCATGACGAAGGTATGATATTGTTGCAAACCTGATAAACATGAAATGCGCGTGGTGTAACAGCATAACTACTTGCTACGCTCATGATGCGCTCGCGGCTGTTTCGCTAGGCTCACATGTACCAAAACTCGGCATTACGCAACGCGAACGGACTACATTGGTAAATGACACATACGAACATGATAATCACAATATGCATGTCACGTAACTACATGACTACATGCTACACTCATGATGCACTCGCGGCCGTTTCGCCATCTTCACACATGCCAAATTTGGTATCACGTGACGTCAATGAATAACGAGGGTATGTGTCTGGTGTGAACATGATAATCATGTGATGTGAGAACAAGGCTACATGCCACAGCCAAGGCACCAATATATTTCGACGTGACGCGGTGCGCGTGCTCACCATCGTTCATTTTGACGCGTCACGCCGGCGTTGCGATGCCAGGTGCCGGATCTGCCATATACTCGCAAAGTGAAGTTTTTTCTCTCTCTCTACCATATACTCGTCGGTGTGCTCCGCGCTGCGTTGCCTTAACGCATGCGCGTTTCAGCCCGTCTGGCGCCCCTCCGTCACGAAAAGAGGGAGACGCAGTGTTGTCTGGGCAACGCATCGGCGCGAAATGCAGCATGTCGTATTTCACAACGGTTGCCGTCGGGCCGCGGCGAAGGACTCTGGTCACGCCGGTCGCGCCTGGCATCAGAATATTGAGTGCTCGTGTTTTGCTTACGTTGCGTCGCTGTGCCCAGCGTACGCATTGGTCAGCGCTACATTGGAGCATATTGGGCCATTCATGATGCGCTCGCGGCCATTTTGCTAGCTCCACATATACCAAATTTGGTGTTAAGTGATGTCAATGGATGACGAAAGTATATGACCGGTGCAAACATGATAATCCTGACACGCGTGCCATGTAACACCATGACAACATACCACGCTCATAGCGTGCTCGCGGTTGTTTCGCTAGCTCCTCATATGCTAAATTCGGTATCACATGATATGAATAGATGGCGAAGGTAAACGACACATCCAAACATGATCATCACGATCGTAACGTTGTGCAGATTTTAAAATGACATATCAAGCTTCCTCATTCGTGCTTTGCATATAATCAATTCCCACTGAACCGAGGATCTGTCAATTTTTTTATTCTTTTTCTTTTATTTCCGAATGAATTTTTAGTCGGGGTATGTCAGGCGTTCCGCGAGATCCGTTCACCGCCATCTCCCATAGCGACAGCTGCGGACGCGCGTGCCCCTAGGAACCGGAGCATTCACCATGACACGCTTCGGCTTCGGCAGCTGTCAGCAACAGCTGTGGGTGCGGGTGCTTATTTTAACCGTGCACGCTAGCTAGTATACTCGGCGACAACTTTTCTCGGCACTGAAAGGAAAGCTATGGAGGTGGAGCTTCTGCACATGTAGCACTGCAGGATGTAGTTCATTCTGGCGCACGTCTCGTATCGCGTTGTAAAGTGACAGGGGCGCACCATCAGCGCTTCGTGTAGACGTAGACGCCTCTTTATATTTGAGATGCACGCAAAAAGGCGAGAATTTTTCACTCATTCATAAACGCGAAGGCACAACACATAAATTAAAAGAAATACGAATATTTTACAGGTGTGAGCTGCGTACTTTCCCAAATCGCTCAACGTAGAAAGTAATCGAGGAACACTTACATTTAAAGCTGAAAATAGAGGCGCTACTTTGGTACTACCTTCACTGGTGGTAGGGTGCACGCGATTTTGCTACGTAGCTTTCTCTTCAGTGCCAAGAAAAGTTGTCGCCGAGTAAAGAGATGGAAATGCACACAACGTTTTGCGTGACAGAAAAACACTACGTGCGGCAAGCGACGCTAATGGTTGCATGATGCAAGGAAAAATAAACATTATATTTCTAATACTGGGTTCTCACGTGCGCAACACCGTTATAGACGCTATGCAATGCATCCGCATTTTCTCACGATTACCATTGGGGATGGGGGGGGGGAGGGGTAGAAAACGTGGGTAACGATTAAGAGTACTTGGTACTCTACTATAGGAGAGCCTAAAGCAGTTCCAAGCGGCAGAAGCAAGAGATTTTATTACTGGAGAGGCATTTTCAGGGGCGAAGCTCCTTAAAGCGGCACCCGTTCATCCCTCGTAGTAGCACATAACATGTCTTACGCTTTGACCTGCAAGGTGGTGCCGGTGGGAGAATTCTCCTGTGCGCTGTTGAACAATAAAAATTAGCAGCATGCGCGTTAACTAAAAACCGAAATCTCCTGTCTCCCATTCCCTATTAGCAGCCATTGGCATGTACATTGAGCACTATTTGACAAGAAAGGGTTGCTACGTTATACTCGCTAAGCGTAACCTCCTTGGTTTTAGAAAGGTTTATCGAGCATTGGGCCGCAGTGCCATGAATACAGTGAACTAGTATATACCATGAACTCAAGGTGGTTGAAGGTGGGAAATAGACCCGAAGCGCAAGCCGTAAGAAAGTGTGCGTGTGCCACCTCTCGTTTAGTCCTTGGAATGTCCACTGAATGGCGGTGCATCTATACGGGGAATATATGATAAAAAGATGCGAGATGGTGGGACTTGGAGTGTTGAATAGATGGATGTACGGACACACAGACAGATGCATGGACGGGCGCACGGATCGCTCCACGGATGAATGGACGCATGGACAGACGCAGAGGCGGATGCATGGACAAACGCAGGAATGGACGCACGGATGGACGTGCGGACGCACGCACGGACGGGCGGGAGGACGCACGAACGGTCACACAGACGGACGCATACACGGACGGTAGCAAGAACGGAAGGACGAATGAATGCTTCGCTCCGCTCTCCTTCATTCACCCCAAGGATATGCTGCCATTTTTTTTCGTGACCGGATTTACATGTAGACGACAGCTATAAAGGCTTCTGTGGCTACGCTTTGGCGCACAATGAAGAATCCTAAGTGGTATTATTCCGTGTGTCACGGCCACAAGCTTTTTTTTTTTTTATGGGAGGCGAAAGTGCCAAGAATCAAAGCGCTGGCTTTTATCGTTGTCAATAAAGTGTCATGTATCTAAAACGGATCATTTTCTCCCTCCTCTACCCCATCCAGGCATTGGCTTTGGTGCATCAAACCCATTTTTAGATTGTCCAGCACTCCAACTAGAGAGGGTACTACGTTCACTTATATTCTGTACATACTGCAAAACATTTTATACATTTAAGCCTGATTATCATAGCTCTGCCTAGAACACAGTATTAAGGACACCTCATTTCCTCAGTCGTTCTGTGCTGAAGTGACAATGGACATGCCAGATACCAATGAAAAACAAGGAAACTGGTGGAACTATTTGATCTTCATATTAAAAAAAAGGCGATTTCCGCTTTAAAGCAAGCACATTGTACATGCAGAATAAACAAAAGGCACTGCGAGAACCTACTAATGAGAATTGTGTTCTTTTTTTGAACAATGCATGACTACGCAGATAAGGAAAATAATGATTGTAGTAAATCGCGCATCAGGGATGGTTTGCAGAGGAGAAAACACAGACAATATATACAACTCTGGATGGTCGGTAGGAAAATAAAGTAAGAGAGTAAGAAAGAAAGAAAAGAAGAGCCACATTATAACACGCGAGACAATCTTTCAGCGTTCGTGTCTATTCCGTGTGTGCTGTTTTTACAAAACGTCCTTGAGAAAAATACCAGCGCCTAGCAAAACTTACCGTATGACATCACTGAACGCTCTTGTGGCGAACGGTCTTGTGCATCACCCCGCAGTCCTCGGTATGCGTCAAAATCGAAAAGGTGATTGCCCAATCACAGCAGCAAGAAACATTTTGCTTTTGGTCACCACATGTGTGCTGAATTTTTTATTGGTAATCGCACAGTAGCTGTGATTGCCAAGCTTTCGGCCTCCACGCGTGTTCTCGTCGGGAGAAGCGATCCAAGGGGGGGATGCCCGCAGTGGCGCGACGACGGGAGTAGTTATCCCGCTTTCTCCGATTACGCGCTCGCATGTGAACAGAACGGGATGGTTGGAGCAACTGTGCACTTTTAGAGATACCACTTTTAGGAGGCCACTTTTAGAGATGCCACTTCTTGCGAAAATTTGGTGCATATTCGCCTTTTTTGCCTTTTCTTCGTGTATAACCTTCTTTTCCTTTTCTCAGCTGACATCCTCGGGAACCTCCGAAATGAACGTCGCTGACAATGCAGCCCCAGAAGTGCTCTACGAGGTGAGTAGTGGAGACAGCTGTTTGTCCGAACCGCTTTCGGTAAAATAAACTAAGACAGGAAAGTGATTGCTAGGAACATGGTTTTCATGGCGCATTTTGCAGCACGAAAGTGTCACGTGAGTGTCACCTGCATTCAATGTTTGTCATGCGTACTTGCGCGCTATATCAGCGATTTCAATAGAGACTGATCATGTTACACTTATAAGACAAAACTAAACCAAGGGATGCTTCAATTATGTTGTGAGTTTGAAAGGGCCCTGAAACATTTTTTTTGAGTAACCATAGAATTAATACACTTGAAGAGTTTATTGGCACACAAATTTAACACAGCTAAAGTTTTAAGAATTCATCCAGGATGAGTGGAGTATAAAAATTTGCCACACGCTGCAACCGTATTCTCTCTTGTTTCGCCCCGACGAAAGCGCTGAAAGCTCAGCGAAAAAAAATGGCAGGGGCAAAAAAAAAAAAAAACCTCACGCACGCCTCGTGACTTCGAGCACCTTTTCCCTTATTTGGTTTCTTCGAATACGTGCTTTTTTTCAGTGCGATCATGCGCGCACGTGTGGACAAGCCATGGCCTCCCGCGACGAGCTCTATAACTATACCGAGCGCGCCATGTTCAAATCAGCCAATGGCGGATGGATGGCCTTCCTACGAGTGCTTTTGGGCTTATTCCGTGATTTATCGAGAGAAGAGAAGGCAATTTTTAGCTGACTTTGATAATTTATTGTGAATTCAAGGCCACCTGTTGAACTTTAATATTTAGCTCACGTGTTGTCAGAAGTCTCTACTGCCAATCGGCAGCGCTTTCTGCCTATGCTCGAAAATTGTTGCAAGGCCCTTTTGAGTGCTAAAGGAGAAGAATATGAGGTGTTCCGTAAAGGAAAAATGGGGTCGCTCAATCGAAATTGCCATTATCTAGGCTTTTTTAAAGTGTTTCTAAACCTGAGTTTGCGGGAGCATTGCAGAGCACTATCATGAAAATGAAGCAGGAAAACGCAATGCGGGAAAAAAAAAAAGCCCGGGCAGGCTGATAAAAACAGACAGAGCGCTATCTAGTCAGTCTGCTCAGCCATTGTTTTGTCACCGTAATTCCCTACTCCTGTTCAAGTAAGATGAACTAACTAACCAGATCTCCGACACTTGTGGACTTTATGAAAGCGCAGCCGTGCTGCAGCGGGGAATTGATTGCCCTACTTCATGCTTACCAGGTCTACATTGCAGCAGCTAAAATGGCAGCACGCATATTGTATCTTACACCGCATAATATAAGAATAATATAAGACTTCATTTCTCCAAATTCATTTCAAACAGCACATGTATTTTTGTTCGCAGCTACAATAGTTCAACAAAGCAGTGATAGCACTACCAGTAGAATGATTTTACATTGGCTCATGACCACTTTTCATAACAGTGCCTAGTCTTTCTGTAGTTATCACTCGGTTAGAACAGTCTTGCAGTATTCTAGGCATCTAATCTTTGTTGCTTAGTATACTCAAGGGCTAACGAGCTTACTGTACTCATGTTGGGGAAGTTTTGCATGAACACTGTAGTCCTTTATTGCTTAGGTACACGAAATGAATGACTAATAAGATCGTTGCTGCGTGTACCACTGCTAACAGAATTTGGTGTCAGAATGGAACACCGTGGTCGTACGAAGCGATTCACCATATAAAAACTAGTTTGCAAAGAGGAGTCGGTTCGTTTGGTGCCATTAGCAACTTAATGCGAGCAGGCATGCTGTCTCACTGTCCTTAAGGAGCAAACACGAATCGAATAAATACATCTTTTGTGTTGAAATAGGTCATAAGATATCTATTTTACATGGATGTGCATATTCGCTATGGAGCAGCAATTATGATGGAGTTTGGGGCACTACTGTTCACGCGTAACAATCAATTTAGCAACTTCTAGTCGTCCTTCGGCAAGGCTGTATTGACCATTGAGCAGCTTTGCAATTCATCTGATTTGCAATTCACCTGAGAAGCGTAAAAAGTAAGGGAGACAGATAAGTAAACGGAAAACGCCTCGCATGTGGTCGTGCTGTCCTACTTTAGTCTTTGCTACGATCAGATGACGGGACATGAAATGTTGGTGCAATGTTGCTGTTGGAGGCAACTTTGCGCCGCACTAGCTACTTACGACCCGTATTCCGATGAAAACTTTGAGTTGACCCCATGGCTACATTGTGGCTACTTGAAATATTGATTTTGGGGCATCTAGGAGCCATAATAGTTGTTTGCTTTGAAAAAGTATTGCTGCATAGCTTTTCTCTAGTATCGGCTGATCCGAGTAGGCGTCTTTCCCTGGCAGTGGGTTGGTGCACGTCTATACATACATACATACATACATACATACATACATACATACATACATACATACATACATACATACATACATACATACATACATACATACATACATACATACATACATACATACATACATACATACATACATACATACATACATACATACATACATACATACATACATACATACATACATACATACATACATAGAAGTTTGAAAACATAAATCAACATTAACTCAAATGTACCCAACCACAAGTGAGCAATGTAGTCTAAGACATAGCCATTGCAAACTTCCACTTTGTCGAACTAAATACGGAGCTCTTCAACTTAAATACCTCATACCTTTTTTTTCAATTAACATCCGCAAGTTCTAAGTAATGTGAATGAAGCCATGTCAAAATCTATGTTTAAGCGTGTCATTAAGTTTTATTTTTTGTCCTGTGAGCCTTCATAATGTGAGGAAGGCATCCAGTATTATGTTGTGTACGACATCTGTATTCAAGATAGTGCTTTGGTAAAAATATTTTGTGTGTGTTAAGTACTGTTTCTGGATGTACTATATGTTTGTTTTTTTATCTTAGTACTTACGCTTTTTTTTAGTTGTGTAATATAAAATCATTAAAACCCAGTTGAACAGTGCTTGGAGGGTAGGGCCATTGCCAGACCATTAATATGTCTTTAGCCGTACCATCCCTTCACATGTACCATGTTTAGATATACCATCCTGAAAATGAACAATAATATTATTAGATAATAATATTATATATATGTAGCCCACCAAAAACTGGCTCCATGACTGCAAACATGGAGGGACTTAGTTTCATCCGTATTGTAAAACGCGTGGCTAGCACGCTCCGTCTTTGCTGCCTCCGTCTATGCCGACGCTGTGCGCCAGTTTGTGATGCCGATGCACAGCTCGTGTTCTCGTGAGAACTTCGCAAGAACGCTTGTTCGAGAATTCTGGCGCTCACCTTCACGAACAAGGACGTCCTGGCGTTCCAAACATGCAGCCTGCTCAGCGTCCACGGTGAGAGAAAAAAAAAAACCCCGCCGTGGTGGTCTAGTGGCCTAGGAACTCGGCTGTTGACCCGCAGGTCGCGGGACCAAATTATGGTTGCGGCGGCTGCACTTTCGATAGAGGCCAGAATATACGGCGTCTCTCATAATCATAGAGTGGTTTTGAGACGTTAAACCTCACATACTAATGAAATCAATCAATCACCAGTAAAAAGAAAAACCTTCATTTGGGAATAGTAAGGCCCCTTAGCCTCCCCTCGTACCCCTCCTTGCACTCACTTCTCTTTCTCACCTCCTTGCTTCACTATGTAATACCCGTCTGATAACTGAAATTCCAGTTTGGCTCCATGGCTACCATGAGTAGCCCTCCCCTCTTTTCTCTCCTCCTAGCCCTCACATTTTTCCTTCTCCCTCTGACTTCTCTTTTTTACCACCTTGCTTTTTGTGAAAGAAAGGGCGATGCTCTTGCAGCGTGTATTTTGATGTGTTCGCGTTCCACCCTAAAATACTATTAGCAGCTATCGGCGCAGACTACGCTGCAGTGTTCGAGAAGTTTTGCAATATTCATCGATTATTTTGTCATGATTCCGTACAGGATGCGTAAGATTAAGTTTATGCGAGTGGCTACGTGAGCACCAGTGATAAAACTGGATGTTAAAGTGGATAATGTGTAAAAGGCGGTGCCTTCTACCGATGATCATATTACTGACGGCCGACGCCCTCATCGCTGCTACCAGCCTGAAGCATAAATTATTTGAACCTTACATTTCACTTTTTTATGGCACAGCGTAGCCCGAATGAAAAATTTCGTCTGGCCTCAAGCCAACTGCTGCTTCGTTCACTTCATCATCTCTTAAAACCTACTTGAGCCTCCCTTCCTCCTTCCCTACTCCTCACCCTAGCGTCTCTTCTTCTCCCTCTCCTCGTTACCCTCACATCTTATTCTACCCCCCCCCTCCCAATCACTGGCTTTTCCTACCCCATTGCGATGCTATACATTACATGGCTATCTTTCACTTTACTCTATACCCTCACAGAACGCCTCGCGCTTACTTCGTTTCTCCGCACCCTTTCTATACTACATTATACGTGGCTATACTATAGTTGGCTATGCTAAACATATTTTTAGCCTCGTGACGCCAATGGACCTCGTGACATGATTTAAGATGACACGACAGGACCTTGGACTGGGCTTTTGAAGTGATCAACACTTAATACAAGCATCCGATAGGGATTACATGTAGAAAATTAATTGAAAGCTATCGTTCTTTTGATAGCAAGCCGGCGCACTATATGAAACTATAGCATAAACGCAGGCAGAAAAAGAAAGTGGTGCGCGTTACGATATGCTCAGTACCTTTCGACCCCAGGTGGTCGAAAGGTACTGAGCCCTCCACTATGGCGCCTCTTATTTGCATAGGGTGGTTTTGGGACGTTAAAACTTGCATATCAATCATGAATCAATCATAAACACAAAAGAACACAGGACATGCACTTCAATGCATATTTTCAACTAGCCCAGCTTTTGATCCTGTTGAAATATGTCAAACCCTGTCCATTTCATGTTCATCATTTGCGACTAGTGCACACAGAGGAAAATCAATAAAGTTGTTACTACAATGTATTACCACAGAATTATACAGCTTACTTATTGTTCGCAGCAGTCCCGCATATCGTAACGAATTGGCTACCCCTTAAACGTTGCCCGTCCTCATGCTGATACTGCCACCTTCGCATCTTCTTTCTTTTTTTTCTTTTTTTGCGAGAGCAGCAAATGACTGGAATGACCTTGCGCAGCATATCTCTAACTCAAGTGCATCTGTTTTCACAGAAGTTATCACATCACAATATACCATGTAACAAAGTGCTATGTTGTATATCTTGTAACTCAATTCTTACGTAATACCGCCTGGTAGGCTCCTTCAGACAAACAAGTGAAACTGAATTACCCCTTGTTCTTGCTCGCGTACATCTGGAGCAGAACTCGCAGAAGTTCTGTTCTTTAAGTGTGATTTTCCATTCATTATAGCCAACGTTGCAAACAATGTAGCCCGTGTCGCGATTTGCTGACATATTTTCTTAAGAATACTTACAGCATAGGGAGTTTTTGGTAAAACAGCCCCTGCTTCTTGCGCTATTCCTTATAAACTAAACAGGTTGCTTCTTAATGATGCCCTAATTAAACTTGCGTGATCTTTCATGGCATAATATTTTGATTTCTATTCCTTTCATACAGGCCTTCCGCCAAACAGTCGACGACATGGACATCGACAACCTTCACTTCTCTATGGCTGGTCTTAAGAATTTCAATCTTGACCAGCTCTTCTTCATTTCCTATGCCATGGTATATCAATTCATTTTTCTTGTCATAGTACTCATTTTAACGTTTCCGTAATGTTTGAGATTAAGTGATTATTTATCTTAGCAAATTCAATAGCGAAATTGCATTTTCTTTTCGCGTTTGCAATGTTCCCAAGCCCCTACAGTATACATTAGACTCTTAGGATTGGCTTGCCGAGTGAGCAAATGCAAAACTGCGGAGTAACCGATGTACTATGCTTCTTTATCTTAAGGGGGTTAAAGAGAGAGTTCGCCAGTAAACTGCAGAATGCCTTTGCACTAGGTTCCGCTTGACTAGCATAGCATATTCTTGCTATTCGATAGACAGAAATGAGTAGCGAAGTAAGTGTTTTGATGATATATGAGCCTATCTATGTCTAATGTAAGAATCAGATGCTCCTATTTATCCCTGGGTATACAAAGGTTTGCACTGTATGCGCACCCCTTTTGGTTGTAGCAATAAAACATTACCCCTAATGTTTCAAAACCAGCCGAAGAATTTCTCAAACATTACTTTCTGACATCATTACTGTGTTAACTGCTTCGCGTCTTAGAACATGGTGTTTGCGTGATTTTGTATTCTATTTCCTCTCCAAGTGATTGGACGGGGTACTCGTAATTGCAAAACGATTGTTAGTCCGTTTTCCTTTGTTCCTGTGCGGTGACTACGTATTTGTGTAAATGAATATGGGTACTACACAGGGATTTTGTGAAGAGCAGAAGGAGGACTTTCTTAAGAAGCAAATACTTCATGGTACAACGAGCCCAGCAAAGTACAGGTGGGTAGCAACGAGTGATTTAAAAAAAAATGCCAACGCGGGATTGTTCAGGCCAGCCGTCGGTCATTGTCCAGAAACTAAATATTATCAACGTTATGAATCGGCACGTGCTACCTTTTTCTTCCTCCTCGTGCTTTTCATACGCTCTCGCAGAACACGTGTGCCCATTTGTCTGGCGTGTAATATAATAACGAGATGGGCGGGAGAACAAGTATTAAAAGGGAGGAACCAAAAAAATGAGTCAGAGCGAGTGAGAGAGGTGGAAAGAATGAGACACCCAGGAAGAGAATTAAAGAAAATTTTGCAAAAAGGCCTCTTCTTGCGTGATTTGAAGCCAGCTATATACAATCATTAGGTGAGAATCGTGACCATTTTGCTATCCAGGCACTCCGGCCGAGCATAAAACAGAGCCCTGTATGGTGTAAATATATATATATATATATATATATATATATATATATATATATATATATATATATATATATATATATATATATATATATATATATATATGAAAGTAGATGCGCTTTCACATAACAACTGTTTATTGTGCCGACGTTTCGACAGGAACCCTGTCTTTTTTCAAGGCATAATACTATTTACATATGTTCCGTGCCTTTTTATATCCTGTCGAGACAGGAGGGGAGGGGTCAATTGAGAGAGAGAGAGAGAGAGAGAAAAAAAGAAGAAACAGCGAAACGGGAGGACAAACATTAAATAAAATATAAAAAAATCTAGGAGAAGAAGCAAGACCGACATGGCGTAATTAGAAAGGGGCAGCATTTCAACAGAGTAGGGCAGAGGTAGATGAGGAATGTCATCATTGTCAACAATACCTCCCCCGCACCCACACTTCCCCAAGTGGGGAAGTGTGGCCCACTTGGGGAAGTGTGGGTGCGGGGGAGGTATTGTTGACAATGATGACATTCCTCATCTACCTCTGCCCTACTCTGTTGAAATGCTGCCCCTTTCTAATTACGCCATGTCGGTCTTGCTTCTTCTCCTAGATTTTTTATATTTTATTTAATGTTTGTCCTCCCGTTTCGCTGTTTCTTCTTTCTCTCTCTCTCTCTCTCTCTCTCTCTCTCTCAATTGACCCCTCCCCTCCTGTCTCGACAGGATATAAAAAGGCACGGAACATATGTAAATAGTATTATGCCTTGAAAAAGACAGGGTTCCTGTCGAAACGTCGGCACAATAAACAGTTGTTATGTGAAAGCGCGTCTACTTTCATATTTATAACCTTGCGGCAACCGAAGTTATTTTTCTGCATATAAGCCTTATATATATATATATATATATATATATATATATATATATATATTTATATATATATATATATATATATATATATATATATATATATATATATAGAGAGAGAGAGAGAGAGAGAGAGGAGAGAGAGAGAGAGAGAATTGCAATTTTGACCGAGCCATTTTTGAACAACACAATGCTTTACCTTCCGTTCTAGGAAGAGTTACGGCTACTTTCGACAATTAAGTATAGCTGGTTACTTCACGTATCAAACAGTGGGGTCACGCGAAACGCCCAATGAATGAGGTGTTTTCACGTTATTTGGTTTTTTTTTCTCAGGACGACTTTTTTCGCGCGCACCGGCGAAGCTAAGCGGTGTCATTATAAAGGCCACCTCTGTACCTAATATTCTCGTGTAAAAGCCACCCCTACGTATGACGAGCCCCGCCAATTACAAACAATGCAAAATAAGTGTTCCGAAAAATCTCCGCATGTTGCCCCTAAGCACATTTCCTGCATTATAGTGAAAAAGCTTTCAGAAGCCATCCTGTGCAAGAAACTTTGCGTTGAAAATGATAAAAACTCATGCGGAGTTTGATACGTGTAGTCGGTGACAAGCTAAGACAAAAAAAAGTATGCCGATGTCCTTTTGTGTTGTACGCGCCAACAAGAGCTTCCTTTAGCTTTGAGGTAAGGGTCAGGGTGAACACATAAAACATTCAACTTTTTTTCACGCGTACACAGCGCCATTGTCCTCGCCACTGTCCTTCAATGCAGTTGAAGTTAGTGATTGTGCCACATTTTATTCCCACCAAAGCGGCTTTGCTACTTTTTGTCGTGTTTCTTCCTTTCCGCTGCTTGAAGTAGCAACGCGTCGTAATCATGAAAAATGAGAGCCATGTGACCTCGCCAGAGGAAACTATGTTTATTCCTTGGCCGTCACCAAGTATGTACACACGACGTATCGAACTGATTCCTGCTTCCTATAGAGTTTGGTATATGCAGTCTGCACTGCACGCCTGATGAGTTCGACAGGATTCGAAGGTGGGAAGGAGAAGTGTGAGAGTGAAGGGAAAAAAGGTAGGGGAGAGAAAAGCATAACGTGGAAACAAAGCGAAAGAAATGAAAAGAACAAGAAAGAATAGAGAAAGAAACATTGAGAGTGTGGATAAAAATAATAGAAATGTGTGGATGAATGAAGGAACGAAATAGAAATGTAGAAATATATTAGGCGAGAAATCACAGAGGAAAAGAAGCTACAAAAAAGGTAGATCGGAGAGACAAAATGAGAAAAAAGGAGATGAGAAAAAGAAAGAAAAAGTAGAGAGGAACACAGACAGCCCTCCTGCTCCGCATTTAGTTCAGGCATGGCACTATTATTGTGCGAAGCTGCATCAGGTTTTTCTCATTGAGGATATTTGATGGTATTGTGATTATAGGTGGGAGATAACGAAGCTCCTATTCAAGTGCCAGAATCGCGCAGTGGCTTTTGTCCTTTCTTTCTTTCTTTTTTAGAATACTTGTGTGATATGAGTCACAGCTACTCGGAAGCAACGGAATCGGTGTATAATTGCGGCCCATTGGTGGGAAAAGACAGACACAAGCGTACCACCAAAATAATATACACGCTTATTATACTTGAATATAGGCACTGCTGTGATTTTTGTAGCCAGAATGATAAATTAATAGCAAAAGTACGCCTTTATTGTCGAACACATTTATAATGACTTTATTTTGAAAACACGCAATCCTAAGGCAAGTCCGTGCTTTCACTGGGATTACTTTTCTCATACAGTAGTAGTTGAGATCCAAGAACATTCGTATTTTCTACCATGCATAGTTGTCCGTGCATTCCTTGATAGATTAAGTGTCGGCAGCACTATTGGACGTACAGTCTTTTCTATGACGCATGGAAATGATGAACCCTTCGTTCGTGACCATATACAGCAGCCAGTAATGTGTTCGCTGACGTTGGGGCCAAATTAGCACCTCCTGTACGTGTTGAACATTTTCACACCTTAATATAGGGGGGGAACTAGTCAGTGAAGTAGTTACAAAGTTTACAGAGGGTGTACTATTACCATAGTTGATAACTATTTGCCCTTGTTACAATGCCCATGCTGCACTATTCCTTCGCACCACTAATCTAACCTTTGTCGTATAACGGTGTCGCAGGGTGAACCTCCCGTTCAGCAACATGCCCTCATTTGCCAAAGCCTTCGGCTGCTCCGAAGACAGTCCCATGAACAGAACACTACGGTGCACCTTCTGGTGAAGCCGGGCAGCCGGATACACAGTCAAGAAACTCGTGTGATTTCCAATCGTTCCATTGCTCGCGTTGTCACACCGGCTTCGTGCTGTGCTTTTCGGACATATCAAATAAAGACTTTTTCAGTTTCTGTGATGGATACATACATAGAGCAGATAAAGCAATTTGAGGCATCACCCTTACCACGTAAGGTGCACGGTTGTTTCTAAGGACAGCGGCTCATCTTTGAACATATTACTGCAGCTGTAATTGTTATTGTGACTTGTACGAAAGAAGAGACAGAGCTACTACAAGTAAATGTTGCATTATATCTGATGCATTCTTTGATACTGCTTAAGTCAAGTAGAAGAAGTTTCTGTGGTAATTACTTTTTTGCCACCACACTGGCGCGGTAACTATTGGATACGCGTTACAACCTGTGCACTTTGGTCCTCGATGATTGATTGTAACATCACATTAGGAATTTTATATTCTTCATGTTGCACATAATTAAAAGACTAGCACATATTGTCACGCTGGTTAGGTTGCGTTTGCTTTTCTTATCTTACAAAATTATTTTCGGTTGCACATCGCCGCAACTTCTCGTCGGTTAGTTTGCATCAACGTTACTGGATGAGGACAGTTGGAAAACTCGCGCGAGGAGGCGGCCGCAAATCGTCGCCCATTCCAGGTGTCGCTGGCATCGCTTTGCGACCACGTCACGTGACCTCTCCGCCGCGCAGCCGGCATCGCGCGGAGCAGACGGAGCAGCGACGCGGCTAGCAGGGCCTGCGCTTGCAGACGATTTTTTCCCTGCTGGTAATAATGGTTAAGTAACCTAAATTAAGTAACGTTAAGTAACCTAAATATAAAAAAAAGGCTGGCTCGTTGTTTCGTAACAGACCTTATGCATTAAATTTCAACCATGACAGAGCAGACGATAATGTTTACGCTGTTCTGCTTTCTGGAGAGAAAGCGGACGGTGACTCTGAGCAAGCAATTGTTCGCGGTTGAATTTTGCTCCCTTCGGGAGAACGGTCGGCATGCCGAGGTGTGCTGTGCCAGGCTGTCGAAGTGGATATTCATCGGCAACGTCAAATGAAGTGCCCTTCGTGCAGCGACACTTTTTCAAGCCACCGAAAGACCCCAATGTGCTGAGGGAGTGGAACAATGCGGCAGGCCGTGCAAACTTCGAAGTTACTCAAAGATCATACATATGTGATCGTCACTTTGATGAAGCGGACATTTGCACCTCCTTCCAGCATGTTGTGAATGGCGAAACAGTCTCGATTCCGCGAGGACGCTGGGAACTGAAGAAAGGTGCGGTACCGCGGCATTTTGCTAATTGCGCTGAGCTTGATTTGAAGCTTTGTGTAGAAAATGTTGGCACAAATGCAGCAAGCGTGCTAGTGGCCGAAGATGACATTACCCCAGTTCTTCAGAGTGAAAGTGAGACGTGCACTGAAATGCTTGAACACGAAAACAGGGCTGCCTCAAATGCTGAAAGCATGGAAGTCATCATGAAAGAAAGCTCCACAGGTGAACATTGGTTTGGTGGCATAGAAGACTTGCCCGTGTATGGAGCATGGTGTGTGCAACACACGGATGAGCGTGTTGTTTTTTACAAACTTCAAGAAATTGGTGGCGTAGTTTTTATTGAAAGAGCTGTCGTTATAAACAAAAACTCGACCGTTGTTGTCAGCGCTAAAGGGAAACTTGTGCCGGAATCGTCTTACACCTTTATTAACAGTGACAAGCTCAATTTTACCACCTTGAAAGACGCAGCGCCCTTTCTTCATCTCATTGAGAGCCTGGGTATCTGCAATGGTTTTGATTCTCGTTTATGTCCTTTAATATCAACTTCTAAGACGGCTGAAAGGTCTGGGAGAACATGGAGAAGCAAGCGATGTGCAGTGCTGTCGGCGAAAGCCTTATGCGTTCAGTGCAGGAAAGCAAAAAAGAACTTGCAGTGCAGGCAGAAACGACGTTCAAGAAAGAGCAAGTACGTGCCTTTGCCATCTGCGCTGTTGAGAAATTTAAGAAAGAAGACTATAAGAGCAACAGTGCTGCGGGAGAAATACAAGAGGGACCTGCTAAGCTTGAAAAAAAAGTTGTCATCAGATCCAAGCAATGCACTGTTGAGCGAGGTTTTAGCTGAACTTCCACCACTGCAGCAACTTGCATTTCGGACAGCACTGCAGTCGATGAAAGCGAAATCTTCAAGAGGTGTGCGGTATGACTGTGGGTGGCTGCTGAGTTGCCTTCTCTTGAAGATTTCAAGCCCACGTGTGTACCGCTTGATGTCAAGAATGAAAATCCTCCCTCTTCCAACTTCGACTAGGCTCCGACAAATAATAAGAGGAATGCCTTGTGAGTTTGGCTTTAATAAGCTCTCCCTTTCCAGCATAGGGGCTTTCATGAAGACTATGAAAGGAGTCCAGTGTTACGGCACACTAGTAATAGATGAAATGAAGGTACGCCAAGCCGTAGCTTTCAACCGTCAAACATACAAGATTGATGGGTTCGTAAATTACGGAGACGGTGAAGTTTCAGCAGCTACTGCTGATCATGCATTGGTTGCAATGTTTGTGCCTCTATTCCACTCATGGGTTCAACCGATTGCAAGTTTTGCAACAAAAAACGCAGCCCCCGGACACGTGCTCGCCAAAATAGTTCTTGATGCAATCGTGCAGCTACGCAAACACAACGCCATAGTCGTCGCAGTAATCAGTGATGGCGCCAGCACGAACAAAGCAATGTGGTCCAACTTTGGCATATCAGGAAAGCTTCACACAGCAAACCACAAAGTTCAGCACCCATGCGAGCCAAATCAAAGCCTCTACTTCCTTTGCGATGTACCCCACATTGTCAAATGCATTAGAAACCATCTTCTTCGACACAAATATGGCATGGTAAGTACCACGTACAGTACAATATCGCAATAAATAGTGTCGCGGTGCCAATCAAAATACATTTTCTTCGCAGCACTACATACGACTGACGGACTTTTTTTTTCCCTCTCTTCTTCTTGCTCATAGATTGGTGAACATCGCATAAACTATGACCACTACCGAGTTTTGCAAGAAGTAGACGGCAAAGAGCAACTCCGCATTGTTCCGAAGCTTACCGCTGAACACGTCTGCCCTGACAACATGAGAAAAATGAGTGTGAAGCTCGCAGTACAGGTAAGATTACGAAAAGCTGCTTTTGAAAGAACTTATAGCTTACCTGATTATTTAGGCAAATTCTTCACATGTGAAACACAAACTTAACTGGTACTGTGAAGTGTTCTCCTTAAGTCTTTTTGCGATTAATAAAATGCCCCTATACGTTTTCTGTCCCCTAGCTGCTCAGCCGAAGTACGGCTATCGGCCTTGATGTGTACCGGAGACTCAAGCAAGATGGCCTGGAAGACTGCGAGGGGACAGCCGCGTTTACCCGCATCATAAATGACCTTTTTGATGCCCTGAACATCAAGCTTCCTCGTTTTGGGATAAGGAGCACATCCAAGGAAATTAAGGCAAGGGCGATAAAATGTGCTACTTTTGAAGAACATTCGCAATAGGTAATGTTAATCAAGAACTGAGGCACTGGGCATATAAATAAAATACAAAACGCCGACAAACATTTACACCAACAAAAGCCTAGTTTAAGTAGACATTTATTTTGTAATTGAAGGAAGGTATTATTGAAAGAAAGACGACGAATAAATGTCTTGGAACTTAGAACTTCTCCTTCCAGATAACTGAAATAAACGTCGATGAGAAGGCGACACGCCGCAAGCGTGATTTCAAGTATTACCAGCTTCCATTTTCATTCAGTGGCACACATGTTTCATTAAAAAATCAGGTTAAAAATAACTTTATGCCTTTCTTCAAAGGTCCCTTTTTTTATAGGCGTCGACGTTTGCATGTAAGAGCTAGCTTGCACAAAAAAGTAATGTCTAACATAAACTTTTCCCTTTTCTAGATCATCCAAGATTTCATGATTATCTTGGACTTGACAGAGAGAAACCACGTTGAGAAAGGAACAGCCATGTTCGCATCTCAAGTAACAATGGAGTCTCTAAGGGTGACTTTGTCATCTATCTTGGAACTAACAAATGACCTCCTTGCTAAAGGTGCACGCTACGTGCTCACAGGCAAGCTTAATCAAGACCCCTTGGAGGTGAGATTAGCATAATTCCATAAAACTGCGCACTTACTTCATTGCATGGAAAATAAACAAAACGGTTATGAGGAAGCATAGCGTGGTTTTAAACAGTCGTCATATCTCTATGTGAGATGTGCAATTCCCGCCTGAGACTTGCACTCTATAAATCCTCTTTATGCATTCCATACGCCATGCGTACTTTGACTTCTGAAAGAGATACATACGGTGAACTGACGTACGGCTTTATTACTACCATTACAGAGGTTCTTCGGAATCACCAGGAGCTTTGGAGGTGACGAAGACCATCCGACGATCCTGAGCTTTTCCCATATCTACAGGTTGCTGAGCCTGTACACACCTGTCAAGGCTTCGATTGCAGGCAATGTCCAAGAGGAGCCAACCTTAATACTAGCCACAGTGCAAGAGACGATGAAGCAAGGGAAGAAGCAGCAGCTGGCAACGTATGAAAAGTTGCGTGAGACAATCAGCGCAAAGATTTCCGAGGTTTGCTTGCCTGGAATAAGTTCGGCATCCCACTCGGGACCGACACCGCTTCCGGACCACGGATATGCTTTGCCAGCAGTACAGGAGTGCGTCGTATATTACCTCTGCGGCTACATTGTACATTCTTTTCTGAAGCACGTCAACTGCGCTGCTTGCATAAGCAGCATCCAGTCAACAAACACTAAATTCCCCGCTTCACTACTGACATTGGCAAGAGAATTCAGGAACGGAAGCCTCAAGCATCCCTCTACAGAACTTTACACAATGTTGAAACGCGTCGAAGAAAAACTGTCTCTCGTGCTAGGAGAAAACCATCTGTGCGCCGACATGTTTTGGGATGCGCTGGATGTCATCAAAGACTGCGATGTTCCAAGCGTTGGTTGTTCAGTTCATAAGGACATCCTGACATCGGAGATTGTACACTCATACGTTGTTTTGAGAATGCACTTTTTTACGAGAGATGTTTGTAAGAAGCTGAGTGCTTCTGGCAGGGTGTCTTC